CTTATTCACAAGAATATATAACATTCTCAATAACAAAAAAAATCTCAATACCACTTAATCACAACAACACTAATGTGAATGACACACTAATGCTACACACACAACATACTAATATGGTTATATATGACAACATTCTCACATATACTTGTAGGTACCTACATTCCTCAACATACTAGAGGTTCATAAACACCAATAAAGAATGATGATAAAGGTTTTTGTTATCGATTTTCATTCACATCAATATAACATTTAACATAACCAAAACCTAAAACGCAACTTGAAAGGTGATAAAGGTGATGAAATAGATAACATATCGTAAATTGACGAAGAGGAAGATACCAAGAAATAATTTATGTGTGCACTAGCTTCTTGAAGTTTTGACATTACAAGAAATTGAATGAGAGGTGATGAAGTTTGGACGATCCAAGAAATGATAAACGTGATGAAGTTTGGACTCCCTTTCGTCTGTTTTGCTATCACTTTTGTCTGTTCATATGGTAGGGCTAAATCTAATATACTTTAATTTTAAAGAAACACATTTTACCACGGTTGAAAAATCAACCATAGTGAAATATATTAATCATATAACCACAGTTGAAAAGACCAACCATATTGATTTTTTTAATAATTTTTATATAACTATAGAAATTAAAAAACACGTCCTTTTACATAGGAAAAATTTAAAAAAAATATTTATGCTGAGATTCAAAGTCTGTAAGCTTTTTCATAACACCGCAGTTCTTACTATGAATTATAGTGAAAAATAATTTAATAAAAAAAATACATGCGCTTAAATATCACATATTACTTGATTCGATAACCGAGATAATAACATGTTACAATAAATATATTTTATAGTAATGAAAATGCTACTTAAATGTTAGTTTTTTTTTCATAATCTTAATCAAAAAATTATCCACTAACATTTGTCTAAAAACTGCACAATTATAATTGACAATTTATAACAAAATTGAGTGAAATATAAAATTTTAGTAAAATAGTTTGATGGTAATGTTTTTTTTAAAAAACCCATGCAATGAAGTAGAGGTAGTTGGTTAATAATTGTAAAAGTGTCTTTATGGTCATTGCATTATATGTTCTCAATAAATACAATACTACTTGTCTCTGTTTTTAAATATAAAATCATCAATTTGAGTTTTTTATGTTATATTTTTTAATACTATTATTTATTCAAATTTTTTACCTTAATTAATTATTTATATATGTAGAGTATTTAAAATTATTTTTAACTGAAATTTCAAATTATATTTTTTAAATATGTCCATAACTATATTTATAAACGTGGTTACAACATTTTTTTTTCAATTTTAAGATAAAATTTAAAAACTAAATAATTATTTTAATAAAAGGTTTAATATTTTTTTCTATTATTAGGGCGGGGTTCATATTGGATCTTAATTTTAAAAAATATCAGTTTGGTCCTTCAACTTTATTAATTGTTTTAAGTTTGTTAAATTTGTAATTCTATGTGTCGAAGTTGAAATTGTGTGTTTATATACATGTGTCGAAAGTCATTTTAGTGTCTGTCGAAATAACATGCATCGAACATAGTCTTTATTAACTGTATTTGACAGAAAGTCAAATGCAACTTGTTGAAGCATTCAATCGAAGCATGTAGCTGTCAAAGGAGTCGACAAAGTCGAAATAGACTGATTTAACTTAGTTTTAGTTGAGTTAGTTATTTTGTTATTACTTGAAGTGCAAGTAATCTAATATTTAAATATTGAGGAACTCTATTTCATTTGTAACAAGAGATAATAACAAATTTTGTAATAGTTTTGTGTAGTTTCAGAAATTACAGTTGTGATTAACACACATTATAACAAACACTTAAAGTGCATTTTGCACAACATTACATTCTTCTTCTTCTTCCAAAATTTATTTTTTCTCCCATTTTCAATTGTATTATTTTCTCTCTCAATACTTCGTGTGTTATATAATCATCTTGCAATCAATGAACATTTGTTTCTCTTTAGTAAATGGTGAAGAACAAGAAGATTGATTCGGTTAACTTTAAGATTGGAGTTTTTCCAACAAAGTTTATCCTTCTGAGCCATTTGCCATAAACGCTGTTATTTTTTTAAAATATTTTGTCCTAGTCAGCTGGACATGGCTGTCACGTAAGATCATGCGTTAAGAAACTTCCCAGCCACTCGAAATTCTTCTGAGCCAATTTCAGCGTTCTTCTTCTTCTTCTTATTCTTATTCTTCTTCTTCTGAATCCCCATCAAATACACCTTTTGCAACCGAAGTTATTCTTCTTCAAATTTATAGTTTAGGATTCACAGTACGAATTAGAGTATCTCAAATTCCAAAACAAAGTAAAAGTATGTAGTCCTCAAATTCGTATCTGTTTCCAAAAGATTTCGGTAATGGTGGGAAAGAGAGTAATATTTTTGAGTTTTATAAATTAAATCAAACAAATTAACCTAGTAAATTGAAAACCAAGTAAACCATATATTAGAAAGGGACAAAAATTAAAAATTCATTAAGCCTTAAATTTGAAAGAGGCGAAACTTTTGACTTACAATTAAACTTGTCTTCCTCTTTTCAATTCATCCTTCATTCCTTCATCCTTCATTCCTTCATCCTAAGCCTCTGATCGTACCTTCTGAATCGTTCCCAGCTCTCCAACTTGTAATTCTTCCTCGTTTCACTCAAAGAGTCAGAGAGTATCAAACATTTTGTTAAAAATAATTCAAAGAGTTAGAGTATATCAAATATTTCACTAAAAAATAGAACAAATGAAATAAAAGAAGCCCTAGTCCCTTTAAATATTCCAACTCAACATTATTTATTCACATAAACAAATACTAATCTACCTAAGAGAAATTTGACATCTTCTATTTACTTTGACTAACACATTTGAATTCAAGGACAAACCCGAGTCTATTTAATTAATTAAGGGATTAAAAAAAATTATTTAATTAATAAATCGAGATAAATTTAAACAAAAAAAAAAAACAGGACGAAAAAAAATATTATACCTTTAATAAAACTTATAATGTATATTTTTATTTCTCAATCCATGTATAAAAATCTTAATGACATTTCAAAACTAGAGATAATGAGTATATATTTCATGCAAGGATATCAACATTATTGTTATTATTCAAACATATGCTACATAAATGAAAAACAATAAAATTATATTAAAAGAATATTCCATTCTTTCTTAAAATTAAAATATATGGAAAATTGATATGTAAGGAGTAGATACATCAATTTTTCAAATAATTTTGTTTCGTTCATATTTTTAATATGTATTTAATATATTTTATTTTAAAGTTTTATATTTACTACAATTTTAATTTTCATATGTTTATAATTTATCATTTTTTATATTTGTTTTCATATTCTTTAACTAGAAAATTATATAATTAATGTCCTAAATGTAATGTTATGTATAAAATTGTTTGAATAAAAAACGATTTAAATGTTAATAATTAAATTTAAAAATTAATTATTTATAAAGCTGAAATTTTTTAAAAGATTTTTCTTACCATCTTATTGATATTTAATCTCTCTAATTAATTGTTAGGAGTGGAAATAGGTCAGACCAATAACAAAGACATACGATCTAACTTACATAGATTTAGGTCAAATCATTTTCTTTTAAAATAGAAAATACCTAAACTTTTTATATAAGTCTATTTAGTTAAAAAGGTTAAGCCTCCGATTATAAAATTTTTTTTAAAACATAACAGGTCAGCTTATTTAAATAAATATTAATAGCTTTTTTTAAAATTATTATTATAATATGTTTTGTATTTTAAATTAAAATACATAAATAAAAACTAGTTATCTCAAAGAATTTATAAAAATAAGATTAAAACATTTCATGAATAATGTTATAAGTTGTTTTTATAAGATATCTTAAACAAATAGTCTAATAAATTTTTTGTTAATAGATAAGTTAAAATAACAAAATGTAAACAACATTTTAATCTGATTAATTTTCTAGTTTGTTAGTCTGTTTAAACATTATTTTAGTTGTTTATTTATATATGTCTAAGATAATAAATTTTTATATAGGCTAACAGGTTAATCAAACTTTAGAAAAGACTATGGTCATGCTTAAAAATAAGCCAATGACAGGCTAGATGTCAGACTTAGACATCAATATTTTTGACAGAATAGATTTAAATTTGACAATGTTTAACTCAGTCCAGTCTATTTTCACCCCTATTAATAATCATAAGTTAAAATTTAAATTTTTATGGTTTATTAATAACTGATTTTATTGTTTATCAAAATTAAGTAAAATGGTACTCCTTATCATTATATATATATATATATATATATATATATATATATATATATATATATATATATATATATATATATATATATATATATATATATATATATATATATATATATATATATATATATATATATATATATATATATATATATATATATATATATATATATATATATATATATATATATTCTAGACAAATTGAAATTTCAACCGGAAAATACGCACATGCAATCTTCTTCCCTCCTTACAAGAAAAAATTTGAATGGAGAAGCAAGAGCAACAATAATTTCGACTTGTCTTAAAGGGTATTAAATATTAAGAAAGTAAAAAAAAGAAAAAGAAACAATAATAAAAAGAAAAAGAAAGCTCTAATTTCATAACAGTAAACTAAAGAAAAAAATCTGAATTACCACACAAATAAAGAAAAAAAATAAAATAAAAGTTGATTTAATTAACTTTACAGAACTTGCAAGTCACTTCCTCTATTAAATAATTATTAAACACATGTATGTATATGCATGAAAAAAGATGCTCCATTGTTTAGTTAATTACGATTTTGCCATTGGTGTTACTCCTCAAAACCCCACCATCACTCACACCTCTCTCTCAGACACAATTCTCATTTCTCTCTTCACAAAACGGTGCGTTTTACTCTCACTCTAAAATCACACGTCACTTTCTTCTCTTTACAGAAACTGTACTTGAAATTGAAATGGAAGCACCGGATTACTTTGTCGGTGGATACTACGGTGCCGGAGGAATCGACCAATTCTCGCCGGAGAAGCGTTACGGTCACGGTAATCACGGTTACAGTGATCAGAAGCCTTGTGAGCCTTTTGCCATTGATGACCTGCTTGATTTCTCCAATGCTGACGCTATTATGTCAGATGGTTTCTTCGACAGTAATGTCGCCGGGAATTCAACCGACTCTTCCACTGTTACCGCAATTGATAGCTGTAACTCGTCAGGCTCAGCCGGTGATAACCGCTTTGCAGCCACAATTGTTCCCTGTGGTTTCGCCGGTGATGTTCAGCTAACCGGAGAACTCTGTGTTCCGGTAATTAATTCACAATTTCACAGCATTTGAATAACTTAAATTACTTAATGCCACTAATTCAGCTAAAATTAACCGTAATTGAAGAACAATTTCAATTTCAATTTCAATTGTTGATTATGAAACTGAATTTTCATTTTACGTATTTTTTGTTGTTGAACAGTATGACGAAATGGCGGAATTGGAATGGCTTTCGAATTTCGTGGAAGATTCATACTCCGCGGAGGAAGAATTGAAAACACTGCAACTTCTCTCCGGTGCCGGCGCTGTTAAACCACAGACACCGGAGTCATCCTCTTCCACCGACACGCTTCCTCCGTTTTCCGCTGATGAAAGCTTACGCAACGCTTCCTTTCTCCGGCCGGAAACACCTCTCCCAGGGAAAGCTAGGAGCAAACGCTCACGCGCGGCTCCAGGAGACTGGTCCACGCGCCTACTTCATCTCCCCGACGCGCCAGTTTCTCAGATGAAGATTATGCCGGTGAAGAAGCGTGAGGATCCGAATGCAGAATGCTCAGGGAGAAAATGTCTGCATTGCGGTACCGACAAGACGCCGCAGTGGCGAACCGGACCGATGGGACCAAAAACTCTGTGCAATGCTTGCGGCGTGAGGTTTAAGTCCGGTAGGTTGGTGCCGGAGTATCGACCGGCGGCGAGTCCAACTTTCGTTTCGGCGAAGCATTCGAATTCGCATAGGAAAGTTCTGGAACTGCGGAGACAGAAAGAGATGCAGAGATCACAGCATCAACAAATTCTAACTCACAGTTCAATTTTCGGCGTATCCAACGGTGGAGATGATTTCATCAATTATCATCATCATCATCATTGTGGGCCAGAGTTTAGGCATGTTATCTAGTGAGTGCTAGTGTAGCATAGTTTAATTTAGGGTGCAGTTCTTTCTAAGTTTAAAGTTTAAACTATCTTTCGCTTTCGCACTCTTTTTTGTCTTATAAAAATTTGAATTGTAGCTTTTTCTTTTTTTATAATTATTTTCTCTTTTTTCCTTTAAATTGGAGAAGAAAAATGTAGAATTAAGGTGAGGGGATAAAATTGGGAAGAGCAAAAGAGCTTCATTTGGTTGTAGTATTTACTCTTTATTATTTTCCTTGCCGAATTTGGCAAATTTAGTATTAAAAAGTCTTCTTTATTTGGAAAAGTAAGAATAAATAAAAATTAAGTATGAATATTTTTCTTATTTCGCCAATACTATCAACATTTTAAAACATAAAATTGATAAACACTACCTTAAGGACAATAATAATTGAATTTTTTATGTTTGAATTACCAATTATTTTCTTTTAATAATTTAGTATTTGATCTTCAGAATCAGAATTATTGAAAGGAACAGTAGATTCTAAACATTCATCAATAAAATAATTTTGAAAATATTATACCCTATGAAATATATTTACAAGAATTACTTACATAATTATATATCAATAAATATTTTAGATCTTTCACATTATCAATTACTTTTTCTCTTATTTTTTATAAACACATTATCTTTTCACACATGGTGAGAAAAATCTATTAAATTTAATGTGTTCATTTTATAGGTAGATTTTCTAAAAATGTGTTTAGTGCCTAATGTATTTATATATATTATTTTAAAATAACTTTACAATAAATGTTGTCAAGGATTGAACTCACTTTTGTAAAAAAATAATGTCTCTAATATATTTAAGGACAATAAAATTCTTCAAAGGAGACTAAATATCTACTAATATTACATTGAGTGTAAAGCTTCATTTTACAACAAAAAATCAATATCAACTTACATTAAAAGAACACATAAAAGAAAACAAGTGAATAGAAGAAAAAAACAAGAAAGTGAAGAAAATGACACATGATAGTTGTTTTTTGTTTTACAAAATAAATTCATTTGGTTTATAACTAGTGGATAACAACTTTCACAACAACCTATGGGCCATTATAAATACAATGGAACCCATATTTCTTCAATGTAATATTGGATAACTATTAGCATTTGGTCAATTAGTAATGATGAAGCATTGTGTTGATTTTTTGCCTTATCAAAAAAGTAGTAACTACTCTCAAGTCTCTATCATCATTTCAATAATCTCTTGGATTCATGTGATTCAATTCTACACAATTTTATATACTCCTAGTACTTTTTTTTTTTTACTTTCACTCAATACTGTTACTCAAGCTTTAACAGACAAAGTGCAAACATGATGTACCAATTTTTACGACCAATGAAACAATCCAATTGGTGGGAAATAGTGAAGAATTAAGCTGCATGAATTTCAGTGAAATAATGAAATTAATAACAATTTTTTATGGTCATCAATTAGGCAGATACACATCGTCCTGTGTACGTACTAAACTATGTACATGGAAGTGCGTTAAAGGAAAGTGATGAAAGAAAGAATGAAATTATGAAAGGAACGTGGGAGGGAGTAAAATAATTAGAAGAAAAAAGACTAGTTACTTAGCTTGCAAAATGGTGCAGCAAAGTCATGTGAGTTGAGTTGTGAAGAGAGTGTTAAATAAACAAAGAATTAGGTGCACAACGAGGGGTGATATAACTGTCTACCTGATCCTAGACATTTCCTCTTCTATGGGCTCCACTATTTCATTCTATATATACTCACACTATTCATAATGTTTAATTATATATCTAATTAACATGGGTAATCAAAGTCAATTTTTCACTAATTCAAGGTTATTTATATAGTGTTATATTTGAGTTTTACACGGTCAAAGTTTATATATTGTTAAAAATCAAACGTAAGATTTTTTTTTAAAAAAAAGCGTGGGAGGAAGAATAGTTGACAATCATCCTACTAATTAAGCGTATCCAAATGATAGATTAACGAAAATAAAACAAAAGAAGAGATTAACATACAAAAATCGTTTATTTAGTTTGATCCAAAGTTATACACTTTGGCCAAAAATAAAGGTTTTTAATCCACTACTGATAAAAAGTATAAATGAGAAGAAATTAATTCAACAAATTCATAAAACTACTTTTTAATTTCTTCTTATTTGTGACTCAATTTTTCATATTTTCATACATGGAATCACCCAATTCGTTATATAACTTTCAAAAATCTTGAAATTATTAGAATTATAAATTTTTAAGAATCTTCAGAAAATCTCTCCAAATATCTCTTTCTAAAAATCATCTCTCCTATTTGTAACAATATAAACAAACTACTTAAATATGACATATATTTTAAGAACGATATTTTATGTGTTTTTCTTAAAACGTCTAGTGTTTTTAGCATAAAATGGATTTTAAGACATCACACACATACATTAAGAAATATGTGTGATTTTTAAGTCTGACATGGTTACAAAAGTAGCACTACGAAAAACACTTAAAATTATTGTTGCAAAAGATCTATAATAACGGTTGAACAATCGTTGTTAGGTAAGGTATGATTGTATGTGAATTACTTACAACCATTGTCCATGGTAGATTATTGGAAAACGCGATACCTATAACCACCGTTTTAAATAACCATTATGAAAAGTTTAAAAGTTTTGGGTTCAAAACCCAACAACACCATTTTTGCAATTTAAACAACCTTTCATTACGATTTTATCTTTCAATCGTGATGATATGTTTTTTGTGTGTTTATTATAACATATGTAGAATGCTTATTTCTTCAACTACTCACTAAACATATAACCTTTCAATGTGATATAGAAATTAATAATTTGATAAATTAAGTTATATTAGAATAAAAAGTTACAATGATCAATGTTTTCCTAATTTTTTTTTCCTTTCATTCTATGTATCTCGCTCACTTTTTTAAGTGTTAAAATTAGGTTCAATGCTTCTAACTCTTCAACCAACATTTCATTCTCTACTAGTTCATTGAACTAATAAAGAATAAAGTGTTGAGAATAAAGTGTTGATTGAAGAGCTACAAACATTAAACCAAATTCTAACTCTCAAAGAGGGAGAAAGTTATATAGAATGCAAGGAAGAAAAATTGAAAAACTTTGATCAATGTAAGTTGTTTTTTAAAATAACTTAATTTTTTATATTAAAAAAATTCTAATTTAATTAGAAAAGTTATTTAGTTAGTGACAGATTGGTAAAATACTCAAACCAAATATGACATAATAAAGTCATCTAATAGAAGTGTTGGTTTAACGCAATAAAAACTGCAATATACAAGGTATATCATTAAAAATTAACAACATATAACATATAAATCATCATCAACAACATCAACTTTTATCAACAACATACAACTTTTATCAACAAAAACATATATCAATAAAAACTAAATCATCAACAACAACAAACCTTAAGCAAAATACAACATATAATAATAAAAATTAAATCAACAATAACATACAACTTTTATCAACAACAACATACCTTAAACAACATACAACATCTATCAACAAAAATTAAATCATCCACATCATACATATTTTATCAATAACAACATAGTTTATACAACATACAACATATTGTTAGATTCGTTCATAATCTTATTATTTCTATCGATATAAAAATCAAGAACAGAACTATAAAATAATTCTCATGAGTTGATATACAATCAACTTGTATCCCTTAAAGTCATATCAAAATTCAATTAGAGAATGAACGCAGAAGCATACTTGAATTAGCCATTGAAATTGTTGAAAGTTGCGGATATGTGGTCTTCAGATTTGTAAATTTGTAGAGTTCCTTGAATCTCCTCCGATGGGAATGAAGAGAGAAAACCTTATAAACCGTATTTTTAACTGTAATCTACAAATAGGAACCATAACTCATTTAAATAACCCTAGGGTTATTTCTTAGTTTTCAATATTCTAATTTGTCACCTCATTAAATTAGATATTGACTTATGGTATCTACACAATAACCTAACCTTTCATAACATTTATGCTTTTAACCACACTTAATACTATATTAGTTAGACCATTTTAAGTCATGACTAATTAATATAATGACACTAACACCTTAAATGTTACATTTGTGACCCAAAATTCTAACAATCTCTTACTGGTTACATATGTAAATTTACATTCGCGTTAGACTTTATAAACTCAAAATTTGCCATTACACACTTCAAACATATCCAAATTATCTTGTCCATTAATCATACAACAATTCAGAACCAAAGTGATTTTCATTATAGCAATCATAATTAAACACATCAATGATTACCAATAGTGACACAACTAAATGACATAGATCCATCATGAAATGTGCAACATGAAGATCACACGAAGTTGGTCTTTATATGTCAATTTTCAACGGATCCTACTTTACTGGAAAGAGATCATACAATAAATTTATTGCACAAAATGTAAACTATTAAATATCAAACTTTATTAATTGGAAAATACCCAAAATCATAGTATGCATTCAAAATACCAAACACAAAACATAAAATTCATGACTAACTAACTCCCACTAAACCAAAGACTCCTCTGACGGTAAACCACCCATGCAAGCAGTGTGCTCATGAAAGATCTTGGGTGGAAGACCTTTTGTAATAGGATCTACTATCATGTAGTTTGTCTCTAAGTGTTCTATGAAAATCTGTCCACTTTGTACTATTTCCTTAACAAAGGAACTTGATGTCAATATGTTTTGACTTGGTCGAGCTTCTATTATTGTTGGAATAAAGAACAATTAATTTGTTGTCACAATATAACTTAAGTGACCTTTCAATTCCTTCGACAATTCGCATCCGAGTGACAAGATTCCTCATCCAAATCTCATGGTTATATGTCTCATAACATGCTATAAACTTCGTTGCCATGGTGGATGAAGCCGTAAGAGTTTGCTTAGCACTGCACCAAGAAACTACACCACTGGCCAACATGTAGATATAGCCTGAAGTGGATCTTTTACTATCT